CCCAAACACCCACAAGTTCCTTTATACGGCTGGATCTCTGCACATGCTCGGTCCTCTGCCGGGAGCACCTTCCCGTGCAGCCTCATTGGCCTGGCCAACGGCCTCTCATTTCTTGGACACAGGCCTCTCCTCAATGGTCAGGTTTGTTCATTTCGGTCCTCACAGTCTGGCTGAGCACCGAGCACCACCCGCCCCCACCCCACACCGAATTACTAACGACCAACAGCATAAAGGAGAAAAGCCTTCAACACAGAGTTTACGACGCTTTCATAAACAGTCCAAGCTCCGTGGCTGCCTCTGGGCTGTGCGGGGTACAGACTGACCAGGAGGGGCAGCAGGGAACTTTCTGGGGGTCCTGGTAATGTTCTAGATCTCAACAGGGGCTTGGGTGACTCGTCTGTCAGCAAACATCAAACGGTAACTTCAGATTCAGGCATTTCACTATGTAAATTCTGCTTTAAGAAAATCAGAGCTGTTAAACAGATATGGAACTCTAGCTCATGGTTTGCACGGTGAAGTGTTTGGAGGAAGGATCCTAAGGATTTCAAAGTAAGTTTCAGATACCAAAAAAAAAAATTAGTCGGTTGGCTAGTCGGCTGGCTGGTCGGTTGGTCGGCTGGTTGGCTGGCTGGTCGGCTGGTCGGCCAGATACGTGATCAAGCAAGATTAGCAAAATGTTAACTGTGAAATCGGACTGGTGAGTAGATGGGTATTCATTGTGTCATTCTTCCAACTTTTCTGTGAGTTTGACATGCTCACAGCAATACACTGGGGGGGAAATATATTCCATATTTATGGACAGGGCTAAAAATACTTCTTACGCCAAATGAACTGAGCAATTTTCCTGAATGTGCTAAACCAATGCTTTTCAACCGTGAACCACCCGTGGATCTTGTTAAAACGAGACTCTGACCCAGCAGGGCGCAACTGGCCTAAGACTCTGCATTTCTAACAGCACCTGGGGAATGCTGATGCAGCTGGTCCGAAGACCCCACTTTGAGAAGTCTATGCTAGGACCACATTAGCCCTTGACACCTCCAAGTGCAAATGGAAACACCCTCCTGCACCCACCCCACCCTAAGCAGGAGGCTCAGGACCAGCAAGCGGAAGGATCACAGGCGGGGGCCAGACAGGAACCTCAAGAGAGCCCCGTGAGGCTTGGTCAGCCACTCCCAGATTCCAGGCAGCCCAGGGCCTGGAGGAGAGGGGTGAGCAGCCCTGCCAAAAAACCAAGGCCAGAACAGACATCTGAGTCACGCAAAGGGCACGGGGCCAGCTGGGGAGGACACCGCCTTCGGTGACTCAGCAAGACAGAGCCCGGAGAAGCCCAGCGCTGCCGGCTCCCGTGCAGGCCGGGCCACCCCAGGGGCATGGCTGACCGCTCCCTCCGAGGACAAGCAACGTATGACCGCAGCTCTGACCTCAGGAGAGCAGCTGGGGCTAGGCTCTCCGCATCTCTGGGGCTCCAGTGTGATGCAAGCCCTGAGGATGAAGGGGAGACAGGCAGAGAAAGCTGCTAACAGTGTGTCCCTCCCCGATCACAGGCCTCAGATCCCAGGGGGAAGGGGCTGCACCAAATGAAGCCTCCAAATGGGGCCTCAACCCATTTTCACGAAGGGGGCACTGAGGTCCTGGAAGGAGGAGGGACTTGCCTGAGGTCACAGATCTAAGTCCTAGACCCTGATTCTCAGGCTTCCCAGGCTTCATCACGACTGGAGTTACACAGCCGTTTGTCCAGTCGCCCATTCAATGGCCGTCCCCTGCAAGGCCACAAGCTTCCTGAGGGTACCCCGTAGACTGCACTGTCCAAAGACGGCCAGACATCACGTGCCATCCCACAAGCTCTTCTTAGGACGAGACCTGACATCTCCCCCATCTAGAGGTGGGGGCTGTGTCCCCACCCGCCGAACCCAGGCCGACTTTTGGGATGGCCTCCACTGAGAGAGTGGCAGGAGTGACACTACGGGATGTCTGGGACTGGGTCATAAGCGGTGACACAGCTTCCACCTGGCTCTCTGTCTAGGAACACTCGCTCTCAGACGCGAGCAGCCCCACCGTGACGTCACCCAGGCCACCAAGACATGGGCTGTCAAGTCCAGTGGAGGCTCAGGCCAGGGGCCAGCGCTAACCACCAGACACGGGAGCGAGGGTGGCTACTGTCGGAGAGACCCCACGGGGGAGCCGCCCAGCGGGCCCGGGCAACGCCCAGGACTATGAAACCTAATAATAAACTACTGTTTCTTGGAACCAAATTCAAGGTGGTTTGTCACGGAGTCATAGATAACTGTAGTGAGGCATGAACCACATCGACTTCACACCCTGCTGTGTCCCCAGAACCAAGCACAGTATCCAACAGATGCTTAACGAATGTCTACTGAAGGGCTAAAGGGAGCCTGGGGTCTACCCAACCCCAACCGGAGGTTCCTCTTCCGTGACACCCTGTTGCTTCCACCATCTGATTCAGGGTGTAAGTTAGGGTCTAACAGGCCGACCATCTTCTCTAAGCTTAGATTCCTCATGAAAAAAAGAATGGCTGGACACAAGAGTCAGGGTGTCCCAGGCCCCGGGCGTGGCAGAGCAGGCCCCAGGCCCCGGCTGCTGAGAACACAGAAAACACAACAGGACGAAGAAGCCAGCTCTGCGAGCACCCAGGCAAGAAGCTAAAGGAACTTTATCCAAATCCCCAGAGGGAACCAGAAATCAGAAACTCCCTCCCCCATAGAGCACCTGAGACCGTCCCCCGTGGAGGGTGGCTTTCCAGGTCTTACAGGGAACCTGAGGAGCCAGTCAAGCTCCAGGCCGCCCTGCCAGCTTCTCTCAGGCTCAGCTGACCCTCAGAGCAACCCAGGGTCCGCCATCACTCAGGTGGGTCTGACTGGTTCGGCATGCGCTCTTCAGCTTGAAAGTACAGGCTGACATTTAATAAATGTTTCCTGATGGGGACACGCCACAGCCATGTACACAAACACTGAGGCACAGGAGACCCCAAGCCATAGACATCTGAGCCCTTCCTCCGTGCCAGGCGTGAGCTGGGATCCAATGGGTGTCCCAGGCATGGTCGCTGCCCTTGTGAACTTTATACACATGCAAAAGAACACACGAATGCACATATGCACACAAACACAGACACATTCTCGTGCAAACATGTGACCAAAAACATATGCACATGCACACATACAAAAACCTGCGCACACGCCTATGTGCACAAACACACATGCGCGCGTGCACGCACACACACACACACACACTGCAAATTTCTCCAACACCGTTCCTCCTTGAGCAGGGAAGTCCAAGACTGGAGCCTCTCAGAATGCACACCAAGACACTAGTTTCAAACAAACACTTTGGCAAGTGTCAACCTCCTCCATGCCAATTCCCCACAGGTGCCTTCACCACCCACAAAGGCAGCCTCGGCCTTTTGCTGAGGAGCAGGCCAAACCCAGCAGAACCACAGCAGCTGAAAACTGCCCCTGCTGCAATTTCCCTGGTTAACAGCCGACTAACCACAAACAAAGCGTCAAATAAATGCTCCAAAGCTTCCCCTCCCACTCAGAATAAAACCCAATGGCTCAGGCAAACACAGGCAACTGTCCCCACATGTGAGATGCCGTGTCTTAGCCGTCTCTGGCCTCTCGCTGTTCCAGCCACACTGGCCTTTCCTGCGGCTCCCCTGACATTTCACGGCAGCTCCTTCCCCAGGGCCTTTGTACTTGCCAGCCCTCTGCCTGGACCCCTCTTCCTCTGGGTATCTGCTCAGCTCGCTCCCTCGCTCCAGTGAGGTTTCATGAGGGAGGCCTTCCCTGATGGCTCCTATCACTTCGAAACTACCCATGACCTTCAACCAACATTATCAATTTCCTTTCCAGGCTTTCTTCTCCTCCTCAGGATTTACTGCCACCTGACTGATAATACTTGGCTCCTGGGTTACTGTTCATCCGCCCCTCTCCCACCCACCCCCATGACAACGCAGGCATCAGGTGGACAAGAACTGCTTTATTCACTGCCACAGTCCTGTGCCCAGATCGGGGCCTGGTACGTGGCACTGGATGGAAAGAGGGAGGGAAGAAAGAGGAGAAGGAGGGAGACGGGGAAGGTGGAAGGAAGAGAGGGAAACAGAGAGGAAGAATGGAGGCAGCCATGGTAAAGGACTATGTCCCCCTTTATTCCATCAGCAGGAAGACTGACTGTTTCTCCACCCCACCCACTCATATCCATGGGTACATACAGAATTTCCATGTGCCTCCAACAGACAGAACAAACCAAGGGTCTCCAACTCAAATCCCCCAGGGGCCAGGCACAGACCGTAAAAGAAGCAAGACTATATAATGCAAGAGGGAGTGGTGGGGATTGCAGTAAAGTAGGGCCATGCGCCCCAGCTGAGGTCAAACCGCAGCTGTGGGGGATAATGGTCCGAACACTGCCAGAACTTTTCGTTTTTCTAGAAAACCTGCATAGTTAGAATTTATGGGAAATTGGGCGCCTGGGTGGCTCAGATGGTTAAGCGTCTGCCTTCGGCTCAGGTCATGATCTCAGGGTCCTGGGATCGAGTCCCGCATCGGGCTTCCTGCTTCTTGGGAGCCTGCTTCTCCCTCTGCCTCTCTCTCTCTCTCTCTCTCTGTCTCTCATGAATAAATAAATAAAATCTTAAAAAAAAAAAAAAGAATTTATGGGAAATTTCCTAACTTTTAAATGTTTGCTCACATGTTCTAAAATCACTATGGCAATCAAATGAGAAAACCTACATGCCTGCAAGACACAGCAGTTTACAATTATAAATTCAATTCCCTCCTTAAGTCCCCCTAGCCAAAGCTTGGCCTCTATTTTTCCATCTGTAGAGTGGGATGATGATACAACCTCTCTCTGGGCCTTTGGGGAAATGGAATGAGATCCCAGATGGACGATATTGGCACAGATGTCTAACCCATGGAAGCTTGCACGGTGCAATATTTTTCTCACACGCGCGCATGCACGCACACACACACGTCTCTGATCACACTTACGGGGTCGTGGATGGTTTCAGAGAACAGGGGTGGTCGGTCCGAGAAACAGGACAGCACGAGCTGCATCAGCACGAGGGAAAAGTAAATGTAGAAAGTGACATCGCGAAACACGTCGATTTCAGCATCCTAAACGTGAGCAGAGGAAGGAAGAGAAGATCACTTGCTGAAAGCAGCCTGCAGAGGCCGGGGTAGGGGAGCAGGCTGCAGACCCAGAAACAAGCTCTCCTGCCCTGAGCCACCTCCCCCAACAGGAGAGAGGCGGTTACATCACGGTGTGGTCCCCGATACCCCGTGAGGGTGGCCCACGTGGTGAAGGGAGGCTCGGGTGTGGGAGTGAAGCAGGCCCACATTCAAGGCCTGTCTCTTTGTACCGGCCCCCGATGTTGCCAGCTCACTCAACCTTTCTGCATTTCAGTTTCTATAAACGGATCAGCAGTTCTCAGTCGGAGGCAATGTTGCCTCCCAGGGAACACCCGGTAGTATCTAGAGACATTTCTGTTCACCCTGACTTGGGCACTGCTCCTGACACCCAGTGGGTGGAGGCCTCGGATGCCACCCCCACCCCCCAAACATCCTACGAAGGTCAGGACAGCCCCTTACAACAAAGACGTCTTGGGCCCAAAATGTTAATTAGTGCTGAGGCTCAGAATCTCCATCGGAATAATCGTGAGCCGTCAATAGGATTACTCATGGAAAAAAAAAAAAATACTTCGTCCCTGCCTGGCACCTTGGAAACATGACCTCAATATAGGTCAGCTGCCCTGAGTACAAAGACCGCCTGTACTGAACACCACAGGTGCTCAATAAATGCTCAAGATACCGACTGACTTGAAGGTGGCAGAGAACAGCAGGGTAGCGTCTAAAAAAGCACGCTCCTCCGATTTCCTGGGAGCGGCGTATGGTAGCCAATGTGAGCCACTTCTTAGCCAGAGTGGCGGCTGATGGCACCGAGGTAACACGGGGACAGGTATCGGGCCCCGCAGGGGGGCAGCCGCTCTGCAAACACCACTCCCCACTCAGCTCTGTTCCAGACTGACGGTAACTAGAGCTGAATTGCCTTGCTGTTTACTACCGAGAGAGGCTTAGAGGGTGATGTGCATTTGCCTGTGGCTCCCATCCCTGGCCCCTGAAGCTACATAACTAAGTGGGGCCCTAAGGAAAGAAGGCTCTAGAACAAAGGCTGGATGAGCTAGGGAAATCCCTGGTTAAGAAGCTGGGCCCGGGTAGCACCCATCCTCTGGTTCCCATGGCGACATAAGCTGGAAGGAGCAAGCATCCCTGCCAAGGGGCCGCTGCGGGAAGATGTGGAATAAGGCCACCACTTACCTCTTTTAAGGCAGTCATGATTTTGGATCGCAAGATGGCAAGGGCACACAGTAGGGCTAGAAGCCAGAAAGTGAGCATGATCCCCGAGGACTGGACTCCCTTCCTTCTCTCGAGCTGAATCAAAAAGGTAGCAAGCAACTGCGAGAGAGAAGCATACAACAGGATTTGTCAGAAGACCAGGCCCCAGGCCCCCACAGTCCTGGCAGATGTTAGGCCTGGAGTAGGGCTGCCCTCAGCTCAGTGGTGCCAAAAAACAGCCTGGGGAGGACCCAGCTCCAGTGCCAGCCCTGCTCTTGCCTTGCTGGGTGACCCTGGACAAGCCACTGACCTCTTCTGAGCCTCCGATGCCTCTAACTACAGCATGTAACGTGGAAGTGGTGGGAATTTAAGGAGACTGTGTATAGATGTGGGACAGGATGGCAGAGTCGGAGGGAAACTCAGTTTACAAGAGAGAGGCACACTTTTTCCTGAATGAATGGGCATCGCTGAGTGCCAATAAAACTTTATTTACAAAAACAGGCAGTGGACCGACCCCTCATTTACAGGTACTCCCAGCCCTGACAGAGACTAACTATATTCTCCTCTGGGCAACAGTGAAGACTGGTCTCTTTCATAAGGAGATGAAGGTTCTGTCATCTGCCTACATTTATACATCTCATCTGCAGGGAACTTTATTAGAATGACGGTGGGTGGGGGAGGTTGGGATTTTCTTTTATTCCTGATACGTTAGGCTCTCACTCCATTTCGCACATGACTTAACGATCAGGGAGAGAAAATAAGTGAGAAGGAGGAGAAAGAAAGACAAAGAAGGAGAAAGGTCACGGTCACTCCCCGGACAAGCAGAGCTGGCCTCCCAAGGCCCATCCCCAAAGCCGGTCATGAGCCAGACTTCTGAGGAGCTAAAGGTCACCCACGGTACCTGCCCTTACTCCCCAGAAGCATATCCACCCGTCTGTCCTCATCCATCCTCCTTGGGGGGACCCCTATTTCCCTCACTCTGCACATTTAATCCATCAGCAGCTCGCACTGGCCCTGCCACCAGGACTGATCCTCAGTTTACCCACCACTCCCCCTGGCCCCAGCCCCCTCCCCTCGCACTGCGTGACCCCATGGGCCCCCCACTGGCCTCCCAGCTTCCCCTCTTGCCCCAATAATACAATCTGTTCTCCACTCACAGGCTACAGTCGGCTTTTCAATACACAGAGCCAGGCATGCCACACCCTTGCTCCAAACGTCTCCCTGTTTTAACCTGGGGTCCAAGGACAGGCTGCGGCTAGAACCCAGAGGTCCGTGAACTTGGACGGGAGAACAATTACATCTTCGCTTTCGCTCAAATCAGCACCACCGGTCACTGAGTGAAGGCAATAAACTGCACAGCATTAGCAGTACTTGGGGCCCTGTCACCATTAGAAATTGTATCTGAAAATATATAGGTGAAGGTGTCTCCCATGATCACGTATGCTCATCACAACTTGGAAATTCAGAAGCATTCCTACCCGCTGGTAGATCTTGATTTGAAGTGCACATATATGTTTCCCTTGTTTTTTTTAACCTTTTGCTAACTGTGTTTAAATACAGTTGGTTTTCCAAACCCAGGGCCCTGCACCTGAACAATGGATAAACACTGTGTGGTGAAACCATGCCATCAAACCCACAGAGCAACTTAAAAACAAACAAACGAAACATCTCTGGACACACACAAGGCGGCTGAACTGCAGGTCTGAGAAGTTAGCCTCACCCAGCCCCAGCCAGCATGGTGCCATTCACATGACATTCTGGAAAAGGCAAAGTGATAGGGACAGAAAACACACCCACGGTTGCCAGGGGATGGGGGTGTGGAGGGAGGGGCTGACCACAAAGCGGGGGCAGCACGAGGCAACTTTTTAGGGGGATGGGACTGTTCTGGATCTCAACTGTGGAGCTGGTAGTTACATGACAGTGTGGGTTTATCACAACTCATGAACTTATCTTTTTTTAAAAAAAGTGAATTTTACCATATCTAAATTACACCTTAAGTAAAAACACGGATGTCATCACAAAATCTTCATACATGTGTGTATGCTGGGTTTCCTTTGCGATCCTTTGTATTTATGTTAGGAGCATGATCCTCAGACCTGACTGGCAAAGGAGAAAGGGGCCCATGGCACAGAAAAAGTTTTAGAACCCACGTTTGGGAATGCAAAACAAAACCCACTCACCCTGAAGCTCAAGGTCCTACGGGGTCAGGCCTCTGCCCTTCTTGCCGTCCCCGCTCCCCTCCTTACTCCCTCAGCCACACAGGCCACCCCCCCCATTTCTCCCTCTGACCCCAGGACTTTTGTACGTGCTATTCTCTCCAGTTGGACAGTCCTCTGTCCCCAGCCTCTTCAATTTTTTAACATCGTGCTCATCGTTTAGCCTCAGCTCCATCACCCCTTCTTCCTTAGCCCCCAGGCCAAAAACATTCGCCAAACTTCACCCCATGACACTTTGTGCCTTTTGGGGGAATCGTTCGTTATTTGTTTGCACAACTGGACATATGCTCCGTGAGGGCAGGAACCGTGTCTATCTTATCTCTAATTCCTGGCAATCTGCTGGCTGCTCTCATCCCATAGCCCTGGTGCCTGTATACCCCTGCCCCCGGGGGTGTGGAGAGAATGTCACTGTAGCACAAACAGCAGGGTCGATCCTTCACTCCGTCACGGAGCCCACAGGGGAAGAGAGACACTGAGGCACTCACAGGCCAGTTCACCTCTTAGCTAGCTCAGAGCCTCAAATGGCATAAAGCCCAGTGACCCTCAGCCCATCACACCCATGTCGCCAGCATCACAGACATACTCATGAATGAAGAATCAGAAGACCAGGAAGAGGGAAAATTTAGGAATCACGAGCCAATCCAGCCAAACCCAGTCCACCTTTTCACCTTCTTGCCCAAATTTCAGGCCAGCAAAATCAAGCTCTTCATTTGCCAACTCCCTCGACACATTTATGGAGTGCTTATTACATGCGAGGCATGGTGCCCGGCTATGGGGACACAGAGGTGAACAAAGCCCACAGGGAGAGCCAGGTTTTGGCAAAGAACCCCACAAACGGTGGAGCAGACCCTGGGGTGTGAAGCCGGTTCTGCCACTTACTGGCTGTGTGACCTTGGGTCAGTTCCTTCATTTCTCTGTATCTCAACATGCTTATCTATGAACATAGGGATAATGAGCAAAAATCCCCAAATGAGTTAATATGTAAAGGGATCAGGACTGTTAACAAGTATAATAAAGATTCATGGCCCACAGGACACCTGGACAGCTCAGTCGGTTAAGCAGTTACCTTTGGCTCAGGTCATGATCCCAGAGTCTTGGGATTGAGCCCCACATTGGGCTCCTTGCTCAGCAGGGAGCCTGCTTCTCCCTCTCCCACTCCCCCTGCTTATGTTCTCTCTCTCTCAAATAAAATCTTAAAAAAAAAAAAAAAAAAAAAGATCCACAGCCCTCCATACTCTGGTTCCAACTTGCCTTTCCTTTCCCATCTTCTGTCACCTCTGCTGTCCACCCCCTGAAGCCCCACTCCACATTCCTACTTCACAGATGACCACTCCTTCATCCCCAGCCTCTAACCCTTCCTTGGACACACTGCTCTCCCAGCTCAAAACATCCTGCCCCAAACCTGCTTCCCTCCTCATTCTCCAACATGCAAGGGCTAGGCTCACTGAGAACTTTCCAGGTTTCTCCGAGAACCAAGGTATGGGGTGCATATGCAGGAAGGGCCCTTAATTCAGAGCACATCACTGTGGCATGCGGGCGCTAAAACCATGGCCTCTGCAGCGACCACCCCCCGCTCAGCTATGTATTAGCTGTATGACCCTGAGGACATTTGATGCCTCTATGCCTTAGTCACCTCCCCTGCCAAAGGGGGACAAGGTTGTTCTGAGAATAGATGAATTCTAATTTCTAATTTCAAGACATGTAAATCACCAAGAATGGTGCCAGGCACACATTAAGGACTTAAGCTGTAAGAAAGCTGTTACCCTGGCTGTGTTTCCCACACAATAATGGACCCCTGTGGGGCAGGATAGTTTCCTATTCAGCTTGGCATCCCAGCCCTTAAGCCAGAGGCTGAAAGCTCAAGAGGGCTTTAGGTCCCAGACAATTAATATAAACGGCTGAGCCAGCCAGTAGGAAAACAGAACACAGCCGAGACAACAAAGGTGGTGCCCACCATCAGCCTCAGTGGCAAAGGAGGGCAACAGGGCACAGGGAAGACTGCGGCCAAGTGCACGGCACATACCCCATTTAAAGGCTGCACTCATCTCTCGGCTCTGGCTGACTGTTGCTCCAGAAGACTATGAGGCTGGGGTTGCCATCTTTGAATTTTTCAAGAAAAGCCAGAGTTCTGGATTTTTATTGTGAGATGTTCTCATTTCTACACGCTGGCCACTAATTTTGGCCTCCACGGTGCCTGGTGGATAGCTAGCTCCTACTTACCATGGTGATGCCCAAGAGGGTTGGGCTGACCAGAAACACTGGGGCCAGGAATTTGCCCCAACTTCTTTCCCAGAAAGAGTAGAAGAGGTCTGCCCAGCAGACGATCCACAGCAAAAATCCCAAGGCCTGGAAGAAAAGGACATATATGTCTTACAAGAGATGGCACTGGAACTTCCCCCAGCAGACCCCTGCAAAAAGCTCAGCCTTGGAGGGACCAGCCAATCCCTCAACTACACTAGCCTGTAACCATGCACCCAGGGCATGACGGTTTGGTCGGTCCCTGGTCTTCCCATCCCCGGAAAATTCAAGAGCTTGGTCTACAGCTTACCTCCACCTGCTACACTGGACACTTGTATAAGGCACCTCACACAGTAAGCATTCATTCAACAACATTCACTGGGTACCTACTAATGGCCACATTCTTTTCAAAGTGCCAAGGATACGACAGTGAACGAAACAGACAAAAGTCCCTGCCTTTGTGGAGCGGACATTCTAGTGGGGGACAAAATGGGCAAGAAACAGACTGAAAAACACATAATGCCAGAGAGTGATAAGTGACAGGAGGAAAAAGAAAACAGGTAACACAGGGTGGTCAGGGAGGGCCCTTGCAATCAGGTGACATACAGGTAAGGAGCCAAATGTGGATATTTGAGGGAAAGAACAATTCAGTTCCAAGGAACAGGAAGTGCAAAGGCCCTGGGGTAGGGAACATGTGTGACAGGTTTATGGTTGCTGTAGAAGGAGCGATGAGTATGGTAGAGAGCTGAGGAGGAGCCTGGGACCAGATCAGGCTGGGCCACAGTGGGTGAGGATTTTATTCCCCATGGTGAAAAGCTACTGGAGGCTTTCTGAGCAAGGCTTTTTGTTTGTTTGTTTGTTTGTAAAATCTGTTTTACATTTTAAAGGGAGATGTTTCTCCCCCCAAAAAAGTACAAAGTGCTCCCAAAGGTCTGAGAGGAAGACATTAAATCTGGATAGCATAGGGAAATGGATAGCATTTGGTGTGGTATGAACGAGACATGTTTGGATGGGGGTACTGTAGGCAAAGCTTCAGTAAAAACACTCAAGTTCTCCTGTTTTGGGGGAACTAAGTCTTGGGAAACATGGCTTTAAAAATGAAGTGAGATACTTGCTAAGTGGAGAAGAGCGAGTAGAATGACGAGTGTGACATGCAACTGTTCTCCACATGTCTTCCCTGAGAAAGCTTATTCTTGAAGGGGAGACACGGTCCCTGTACAGTGGACATACCAGGCAACACTTTGACTAGCGATCAAAATGAACGCCCTCAATCCGGGGTGGATGAACACCACATGACCCTAGGTGTAATACCCCCAAGGGACACCACCTCCTCCGTGGTTTTCCAGCTGGACATGCGTTACCCACATCATGAGGACACATCATGCAGGCTCGAGCTGAGCAACTCCCTTCCAAACAACTGGTCCCTGTTCTTCCAATCCATCAGTGTCAAAGGAAGGTGAGGTGTTCTTCCAGATTAAAGTCTCCCAAGAGACACCAGGACTAAAGACACCACATGAGGGACACCCGCGTGGCTCCATCGGGTTAAGAGTCTGACTCTTGGTTCAGGCTCAGGTCATGATCTCAGGGTGGTGAGATGGAGCCCCACGTTGGGCTCCACACGCAGCATGAAGTCTGCTTCAGATTCTCTCTCTCCCTCTCCCTCCCGCTCACTCACTCTCTCTCTCTCTCTCAAATAAATAAATAAACAAAATCTTTTTTAAAAATGAAAAATAAAAGCAATGCATGAATCTAGACTGGATCTTGAATGGGATTGGGGGAGTAGTTCTAGAAAGGACAGGATTGGGACAAGTGACAAAATTGAAATATGGACAGATTTTTTAAAAAGTATTGTGTCCACATTAAATTGCCTGAATTTAGTAACTGTACTGTTGTTACATAAGAAAATGACCCTGTTTTGAGAAAAGACACGCTGGAAGAACCAACGAGTAAAGATAACACGGATGCTACCGGTTCTCAAATGATTCAGAAAAAATAGATCAGGTGTGTACGGAGAAAGGAAGAGCCAATCATAAAAAAGTGTGGCAAAATGTTAGAACTTGGTGAGTAACGGGTATTCAGCGCTGGGGGGATTTCCTGGGATCCTCCTTGCCACTGTTCCACAGTTTGAAATTGTTTCAAGGTAAAAACTTTTTTTTTTTTTTTTTTTTTTGGGAAATAAAAAGGATAGCCTCGGGCCAGGTAGGAAGACCTCCTGATTATCCCCTGATAATCTCTCAAGGTCGAGCCTCGCATGCTCACTGTAATGATGGGGAATCAAGGGCTCAGGGAGGTCAGAACATATGTTCAAGGTCATACAGCTAGGAAGAGGCACAGCCCGCATTTGCACCCACGTCTAAAACCAGAGCCTCAGCCTTCAACCACGACGTCATGTCTGCCTTCTAGAAAAAGGAACTCGGCTGGTTAGAAGAAACATGTCGGTCTTCACCAACCACCGGTCCCAAACCCAAGCACACCCCGCCTCCCCCACCACGAGGAAATCCTAAGTGACTTACAGTTTTGGTTTTGTTGAGATAGGTCATCTGAATGTAGCCCCGGTCATGGCGTGAGAGATAGAGGAAGTAGAAGGGAAAGCAGACCCAGAGGTAAGAACAAGGCACCCACACGAGGAACGTGTTCTGAAAGCACTTGGTGAAGTCGGGGTTGCTGGTGTTCCACGTGATGTCCCACGCCTGAGGAGAGAAACAGATACAGGGTCAAGGGGCCGCACCAAGGAGGGACAGGCGTCTGTGTGGAGATCAAAACCGTGCAAGAAAATAGACAGGACCCTACACCCGAGGCCCTCTCGGGTAGAACGTGCAAACTGGAAAGATCAGGAACCAGAAAGACTATGAAACAAAAATAAGACACGAAGGTAGGTCTTGTCTCACAGAACAGCTAAGTCCTGGGACCTGGGGCAAGTTCCACTGTTGCACAAAAGACGGCGTCTGCCATTGAAGAAACCCAGAAGGGTATTCCCCTGTCAACGGAAGAGTCCTTTCGTCGTTATGCATCATTCTACTTTACCATCTTGTCACCTGAGGACTTCAGAAAGTCTTCTTGTTCGCCCCCATCACCACCATCAGCACCACCACCACCATCATGGTCACGGCCATTACCACCATTAGCAGCCTCAGCATCATGGATAACAACCAAATTGTAGTCCTCTGTGCTAGGTTCTATTCTAAGTGCTTCCTCTGCATTATCCCCCTTAATTCTGTCAGTACTTCATCAGCCCTTTTTCAGAAGGGTAAGCAAAGGCACAGAGAGGTTTGGTGATTTGTTCCAGGATCACACAGCAGGTAAGATCTGGAGCTCAAATCGAACTCAGCCAATTTGGTTCTGAAGTCCCTACGGTGACCCACTAAGTTACCCAGCCTCAGAAACAAAATTTGTGGGCGCCTGGGTGGCTCAGATGGTTAAGCGTCTGCCTTCGGCTCAGGTCATGATCCCAGGGTCCTGGGATCGAGTCCCACATCGGGCTCCCTGCTCCTTGGGAGCCTGCTTCTCCCTCTGCCTCTCTCTCTCTCTCTCTCTGTCTCTCATGAATAAATAAATAAAATCTTTAAAAAAAAAAAAAAAAGAAACAAAATTTGTTTGAAGTGCTTTTTAAAGAACCCGCACGTGTTTCACTAGAAACGGGCCAGATAGATAAGCAGAGACATAATAAATAGATCGGGTATATCGGCCCAAGAATAAACGACAGCCAACGTTTAGGACTTCTGTAAACAGAGAAGTGAATGACCACTGACCAGTTCTACAACTTTGGAAAAGTTATTACCCTATCTTATGGTTTTAATTGACTATTTCCACCATGACTGGGTCAGATAAGGTCAGAGATATGACACAAGTGCCCCCCCCCCCCCCCACCCCGGGGCCAATTTGGCTCACAGCTGGTTTGTTGTTAATGCTGCTGGTTCAGCACACTTTAAAAAAAAAAAAATCTGAGGTTCGCTGCCAGCATTTAAAATCAGAAAATTTCATATAAAAGTTTAGATCTGGCTTTTCTTAGAAAATTAGAAAATGTGGGGTGCCTGGGTGGCTCAGTCGGTGAAGCGTCTGCCTCCGGCTCAGGTCATGATCCCAGAGTCCTGGGATCGAGTTCCGCATCGGGGAGCCTGCTTCTCCCTCTGCCGCTCCCCCTGCTTGTGCGTGCACGCTCGCACGCTCGCTCTCTCTCTCTCTGACAAATAAAATCTTTAAAAGAAAATTAGAAAAGGGCGCCTGGGTGGCTCAGATGGTTGGGCGTCTGCCTTCGGCTCAGGTCATGATCCCAGAGTTCTGGGATCGAGTTCCGTATCAGGCTCCCCGTTCAGTGGGGAGCCTGCTTCTCCCTCTGACCCTCTCCCCTCTCGTGCTGTTTCTCTCTCGCTCGCTCTCTAAAAAATAAATAAAATCTTAAAAAAAAAAAAAAAAAAAGAAAGAAAGAAAATAAGAAAAATCTGACGGCACCGGACCCAAATTCCTGCTTCACAACCATCAGCAGGGGCTGGGGAGCAACACCTCTCAGGACAAGGCCCACATGCTTCAAGCTGGCCCCAGGCCCCATGCAGCCTACCTCCCTCCTAGCATTTTTTCCCCATCACTAGTGGGTGAGCCTTCTAGAAAGCTCCAGCTATGTCTGATCCCTACAGCCGCCCCAGAATCAGGTTAAGTGAGACCACCAAGGAACTCCAAGGAACCTGGAACCTTACCGCTCTGTATCAAGCGTTCAAGCCACATTCAAGACCGTTGAAGATAAGCAGGTAATGGGAACAAAAAGATCATTTCACTTAAAAAACACATTTGACAATCTGATCAAAATACATGCTCTGAGCTTCTCAGAAAACAGACCTAGTTATGCACAACAATGTGAGTATATTTAACACTCCTGAAGTGTACGCTTCCAAACGGTTATTAAGATGTTTAGAAAAGAAAGGATTTGACTTTTAAAAAGAGCGAGCGAGCAAGCTCTAGGTCTTAACCAGGTACCTAAACTGGTTCTTCAGAGGTGTAATTATTCTGTGATATAAACAGTTATTTCTCCAGAACCAAGAACAGGAAATCATTGAAAAATAAACTTTAAAAGGTCAACGCACACAAAGGGATTAGCTAGGAAACTTCTAGACACAAAGAAACCCTAAAAAAGGACAAAGGTTATGCCTCTGTGGATTTGGACATTTGGAAGACAGTCTTGTAAATAAGTGTGGTTTATATCAAAGACTGATTATTTTAACTGCTTTCACATCACTTGTAATTCTTAAGGTGATGGTGGAAAAGGGGATTAAACTGTTGGTGGTTAATTATACACAGAACCATTTCTGAGAAGTTGCCAGAAAAAGCTCATTCCAAAGGAATTTGCCCTTCTAGTAAAAACAATGCTGGGCCTTAGTATATGCAGTTATGTATACCAGAAGCCTGGTTCATGTGTGAGACATTTCTTTTTTTTCTTTTTTTTTTTTTTTTTTTAAAGATTTTATTTACTTGACAGAGAGAGACACAGTGAGAGAGGGAACACAAGCAGGGAGAGTGGGAGAGGGAGAAGCAGGCTTCCTGTGGAGCAGGGAGCCCGATGTAGGGCTCAATCCCAGGAACCTGGGACCATGACCTGAGCCGAAGGCAGACGCTTAACGACTGAGCCACCCAGGCGCCCCCATGTGTGAGACATTTCTATAACCTAATCCTTGCCCCAGTCATTCCTTGCCTGGACTACTACAATAATTTCCTAACCATCCCCTGCTTCCAGCCCTCCTGGCCCCACTCAGTCCTCCCCCACTACAGCCAAAGTTATCTCACTTATCTGGACATCCACATGTGCGTCCATAGATATATATCTACCCACCCACCCACCCATCCATCATCTACCCATCTATCTATCCACCCACTCTCTTCCCATGCATCCATGCATCTGTGCATCTACCCACCCACGCACCAACTCATCCATCCATCTACCCACCCATGCACCAACTCATCCATCCATCCATCTACCTGCCCATGCACCAACCCATCCATACATCTACCCACCCATGTACCGAACCAACCAGGCATTCATTCATCCATGTTTCTATTAATCTACTTTTAATAGGTCATAACTTTTATGTGTTAAAATTTTTTCAAACTACACAAAATGGCATACATACAGTGAAAAAGAAGACTCCCTCTATGAATTTGCAACCCCCCATCGCACCCCCAAGGCAAAACTACTGTTACTAACATCTTGTGTATTCTTCCAAATACCTTCCAGATAAAGTGTTATCAATTTTGTTTCCCTAACAAGTACAATACATAGTCCGTTCTGTACCTTGCTTTTTTTTTAATATTAGAAACCGATTTTTTCAGTAACAGAGATATGTTTTATTCTTGAGAACTTAATTGTATTTCTTTTGAATAAAGGTAAAAGTGACAAGCCATCTTCCCATCCCAGTCCCTAACCCCCCAGGGTCCTGTCTCTAGAAGCACCCATTACTGGTTTCTTGTGTGTCGTTCCAGAAAATATTTTATGCGTGTGTGTGTGTGTATATATATATATGTATATATATATATATGTATTTTCTGTTATCAAATGGAAGGAAGCATACTCCTCACACTGTTCTGTACCTTGCTTTTTCTCTTAAGTTTTCCTTTTTAGTTTATTTATTTACTTACATAATCTCTACACCGAGCCGGGGGCTCGAACTCACAACCCCGAGATCAAGAGTCACGTGCTCTATCAACTGAGCCATCAGGGTACCCAGCTTTTTTCTCTTATAACTCTCTAATAACAGGCCTTAAAGGTTATCCTGTACTGCAAAGGAAGGGTTTCCTCATTCTTTGCTCCAGGTACTTGCTATTCCACTGTATGATGGACCTGACTGTATTTGACCCGCCTCCTGCTGACAAGGACACTGGGTTGCTCTAACAGACAAATAATACAGCAGTGAACTGATAATCCGGTAAGTGCTTCATTTCACACACACGCAAGCATACTTATAAGATCACTTTCTAGAAGCGAACCTGCTGGGACAAAAGGTGCATGCATCTAAAATTTAGACACTGCCCTCCAAGGGGGTATGAGTTTATACTCTACCTAAAAGGAACAAGGGTGACTCCTTCCCAAACACCATGTATCACAAGCTTTTTGATCTCTGCAGACGTGGTAGTAGAAAATATCTCACTGTAGTTTGAATTTCTTTTCCCGTTATAATGAGGGAAATGGAAGATCTAAAAGCAGTAAGATTTTCCTGCTCAGAAGAATATTCACAGACTTAAATATCTGTGTTAAGAAATGGGACAGATCAGACTGTCCTCTCTCCTCTGGGTAACAACCTCGGATGGCTCCCTATTGCCTTCAAAAGCTGATGCTTGCTGTGCTTCATGAGGTCTTCCACGTCTGAGCCCCGTCTGTTTCTCCTACAGTTTCTCCCACCCTGTTCCCCAGTGTGTCAACTCAGGCATTCACTCAATGAGGCATTTACCACGCATGTGTCAGGCATTGTTCAAGGCACTGGAGATTCGGGAGGGCCATGGTCCCTGCTTTCAAGGCACTCCCTAGCTGCCGGTCAAATGAATGGTTCTTTGGGATACCTCTTCCTAGATGCTCTCCCTGCAATGTCTTTCCACTATAACAAACTCCTATACATCCTTCAAAACCCAACTTGGGTATCTCCTTTAGGAAGCTTTCCTCCCCACTCCCCAAATCATCAGGCCCACCCCCCAATCTTTGCGATGGTTTTCT